CGCCCCTAAAAGTGTGGTTGGGGTGTGTGCATGGCAGTCGTACACGGGCAGGAGTTCATAGGCAGCAGCCCATAGGCAGCAGCCATGAACAGACGGATGGAGGAGGCACCTGGAGGTTTCACATGTGGAGTCAGAGTCACACAGTGAATTCAGTGAAGAAGAGTCAGGCTTGGAACTGACAAGTAAGCCGGGCGGGGGTTAGGACGCTTGTCATAAGCAGAGCGTTTTACAAATGTAGGTAAATGTAGAGGTTTAACAACACATTAAAATACACCAAAATAAAGTAAATCACATCTACTTATCTACTTAATTCAACATTTTCTGGAGGAGGACCCCTAGAACCCCCCTCCCACCAGCTATTTGCGTTCTGGCATCAATCGGTTTACAAATTAAGCCCTGTCTGCAACCCCACTGTGACCGTTTTAAAATAAAGCTTTCAGCGTAAATCTTTTGAGCACGTTACAAATTCAAGCAAAAAGACGTTGCACTGGACTCAGGTGAGGACATTTAAAACCTCTGCAAGCATTGAAAGAAATTCTGGATTCCCTTGTGAATGCTTTTCACCACTTGGTCGCCAGCAGCAGTCACAGCTCAGAGAGATACTGCCTTTACATTTCACTCCTTAAAGAAATAATTGGTTTCCTCATCTATAAAACTTTTATTTAAACAAAATTGGCACAGTGTGCTGTTTTCATGTTTATTTTATGTTTCTTCACCTGCATCCTTGGCCCATCTGAGGATGGAGGTGACCTCGTTGCCCTTTGTGGTGTTACACTGGAAGCGAACGGCAGCTGCACTCACACCCACTGTGCCCTCGTTGGCTTTAACCCCACAGAGGAAAGCTGTGGCTGTTCCAGCACTATCAGGCACCTGAGCATTAGTGTTGTATGTCTGCAGGGACGCAAAAACGCACAACATGTTTGAATTGTTTCTAGTTATTCTGAGATGCTCTTTGTAATTTGAATAAACATTGCATTAGTAAGACACACAATATCAGTATGTTAAAATAAAAAGTCCATGCAGAACACTGAGCTAAAGTGCAGCAAACATTATAAGAAGCACAAAAAGCAGTGCATGAGATCAACTAATGCTTTTTAACTTCAAGTCTATTGGTGCAGCTCTAAGCCATAATATGTTCAAAAGTGCTTAATTTTATGTTTAGATTATGCCTTTTAGTGTACCTATGCCAACTGTTTAATAGTCAATTAATGCACCTTTATTGATATTTATTCCATATAAATAAAATCCATTAAGGTAATGTACAATCAATAATGTAACATTCCCAAGAATAATTTGGTTGTTTTTATTGTTTGCTTTATTCTTTTATCATGCACAACTAATATATGTGATTTGAACTGTTAATCAATCAAAGCTATAATGGTACAAATTATTAAACAGGGCCGTGATAATTTGAGCGGCTTCGGATGTTATCAGTCCGTTAAATGGCCGTTATTAGTTGTTATCATCCCCATATGTAGCGGTCAAACTGTCCCACCTACCTCCTAGTAGGTTTAAGGGTACGTTATTATTGCTGATAATAGGCAGCGTCGCACGGGGGTAAACCAGGAAGTGTCTTTTTTTTTTTTTCAGCTTATGTAACACTTTTCCTAAATGTAAGCTTACACGTGACCCAGAGGACCAACCCTAAACTTAACCCCCTTACCCTTGAGCCTAAACCTAACGAAGACCGTAAACGTAACCGCCAGACCCTTTACTCTAAACCTAACAAAGTTTATGAAAAACAGAGCCTATTGTCATCGCTAACAATGTAGCTTTAAACCCACTAGGAGGTACAGGAGGGACAGTCTGACCGCTACATATGGAGATGATAACAACTAATAACGGCCATTTAATGGCTGATACATCTGAAGCGGGTGATTATTTGCACTATTTAATAAATTTACATAAAAAATCAGTTAGTTATTTATCTAATAATCTCTTTGCATTTGGTGACACCACCTAAACGTATAGCTTGTTAGTTGAAGAGCACAAGAAGAACTCCAGCTTTGCAACGGTTTATAGCTTTTTGCACAATAAGTAACTTTTTCTTCGAAAAGTTGTTGCTCTTTTTATTGATACTTTACAACCAACCAGCAACATTTGTCAACTTTCACACATTTCTTGTTTTCTTCTTTTTTTTTTTTGATTGTTTAGTTTTGTGTTGCTTGAGCTGCTCCATTCAACTGCCATGTTTATGCAATCCAACACTGTACTTTGAGTTTTTCTATTAAGAAAATCAGAATATTGCCTTTCTTAATATTTGGTGACGATGACAGCAGCGCAGAATATCTAATGGTTTAAATTTAAGGCTTTAGTCACTGATGTTTTACAAGATTTACTCATTGCAGCATATTTTTGATCAGATCAGTTAATTATAATTTTCACCCAAATATAGACCTTAGCCAAAGAGACAAAAGGGAACTTGTCCATTTCCAGCAGCGTCTCCTCTCCACTCTGTCCGTTCAGCTGACCCTTCAGGATCCGAGCCGCCGTCACAGTTGGGACACCCATACCTAAACACAAAACGCAAATTGACCTTTAATGTTGATTTTGCGTCAACTGGGACAGAAAGAGTCCAACCCCACAGTGCTGAACATTAAAGCTTTTCATTCTCTGTTAGATAACTTTCTGTTTGCAACAAATGCAGATGTTTTCATGGACATTTTAGAATCTGATGACTTCAGTGAAGAAAAACATTTTCTTTGACTCGTGTGGCATGAAAAGAAACACAAACGGTTACAAAATAGTGGAATTTGTTTTAGTTAATGTGGAACCTGCAGTGAGAAACTAAACTCTCCCGTACTGTTTGTATTTGGTTATCTCCAACAAAATGAGTGTGATCACAGCCAGACATGAGGACACAAGTTTATGGGCAAAAGAGACATGACTTTGTAAACGTGATGGATGATTCTAGGTTTTCATGACTTTGTTTTTACATTTCTCATATGAATGCCTAAAATAAACTGTTTCGTATGCCAATATAGCAAACTACTATAATGGCTTTTGTATTTATTTAATTTAACTGTCTTAAAGACTTCCCTGCATTTTTGAAGCTCTAATTGTTGACCAAAACCTGAGGTTCAGAGGTCGACAGTTCTTGAACATGTCTGTAATTTTCCCCACATAAGGGAGATAATACATGGAAAACATTTTCTAGTTGAACAGTTATTTTTCCTGGTATCCTGTAAATGCGCAAGCTTGAGGATGAACACAAAATGTACAAGAATGTCACGCTGGGTGAGCAGGGCAGAGAGAAAGCAGAGGCCTGATGGACGATGCAGAACCAGTGAGCATGCCAACAAAAACAGGAGCCAGTGATCTGATGGAAGCATGGCAGCTTTGTGTGCTGCTCTTCATCCACTTCCTGTTAGAAGACTTACTGAAAAAACATGCATATCTTCTTGCCAGGAAAAAAATTAAAAAGTACTTTAATGACTTACCATCACCAAGAAACAGGATGAGATTCTTTGCTTTGTTTTTATTGAGGTATTGGACTGACAAAGCAGTCTTCAGGGTACGCTGAGCCATTGTGTTCCAAAATTCAGGATTTTTCTCTTGTTCTGGGTAATAAAGCAAACAGATCTGGTTAATATTTAATAGTTTCATAAAAGCACCAGTTGAAGGTTTGTATGGAAAAGTGCTGAGAGTAATAAATGTCAAATAGTAATGTCTGACTGTCAAAAGTTTAAAAATTCAGTGAGTCAAGCAACTCGTGAAAAAGAAAGAATAAATGCAAGCAGAAAACTGAAAATGATAAAGATTTGTTTTGATAAAGATAAGACAGTTCCTCAAAACACTAGTTAATCTTTTGCCTAAAGCAAATCCAGTTTCATAGAAAAGAGTTATTATTGTGATCAAAATCAGGTCCATTCTAAAGCCGGTATCTCTACATGACTGAGATTAGTTGTAGATCACAAGTGATCATAGTGACGTCACAGTATGGCAGCACAGACAGGAGCTCCGCTTCAACTCGCTCTTTTATGTTGTTTGTTTGTTTCTGTTGTTTTTATTTCAACTTTTTTTGTGCCTGTACACTGCACAGCCGCACTACTGGTATGACCGTGACACACTTTTGGAGTTTTGTGTGTCTCTGCCTTGCCATCCTGCCATCGTGGATCAGTTCCTGGCACCCTTCCAACCTCTGGCTCAGCTCCGGGCGGTCCTGTATGGGGTGCCGTTTGTAAAGCTGCACGGTCAAAAATTAACAGCAATATTTTGGTTTATTTAACCTTTTATGAGAAAAAAATAGGGATTTTTTTAAAGTCATTTTCACCATGTTATTCATAAATTTATAAATGTCAGTTCCAAACTAAATATTTAATTTAAAAGCTAAATATTTAGTTTACAAACTAAATACTTAACTTGCAAGTTAAATATTTAGCTAGTAAACTAAATATTTAGATATAAATTAAATATTTAATTTCCAAGCAAAATATTAAATTTTTAAGCTAAACATTTATTTTCCAAAATTAATTTGCAAACTAAATATTTAGCTATGACCTAAATATTTAACTTGCAAGTTAAATATTTAGGTCCAAGCTAAATATTTAGTTAATACGCAAATTCCTTGCCGAAAAGTGGAAGTGGACTATCCAAATAAAAGCCGAACCCATGTGCCGTAACATTCAGGGCGGATCTGGTACCATCTCCATCCATGCTGTAGGCTGGCTTTAGCTGCAGACGGCTTAGTAACTTTTGGCTATAGGTGGGTTTTGTTTGTTTTGTTTTTTAAGTAAATTGCAATGGCTGTTTCTGCTGGGTTACAGGATGTTCCAGCTGGGCAGACGGTTCGACACAGTGCAGTTTTCACTTAATCCCCAAAATCAGGAAATGTGAAGGACCGCAAAAGAGCTGAATGCAGAACTTTGTCCAGTCTGGCTTGGAAAGTAAACATCGCCCACGTGGATCTGCCGTCGAAGATGTCAGGAATCTGCTCCGATCACTTTTTTCCTCCGGTAAACTAAAAATTCTATATCAATCATTTTGTGAAACAATGTCTGAACAATGTCGGAGTATAACTGAATGTGTGATGGAACTGAGTTTTAGCACATCTCTGTGGTAAAGCTGTCATTTCTAACCCAAGCCCGGAGCCCGGAGCCCGGAGCCCGGAGCCCGGAGCCCGGAGCCC